TTTATTGTACATCACTATTTACAGATTTTTTTTATTTTTTATTTTACAGATTGATGCAGCAGCGATAAATTGAATTAAAATGTCAAAGTCACGTTGACTCCTCTTTTCTCCATATAAGTAATAAGTGATAATTTATTTTAATAGTTATACAATTCATGATGCATGCAGGGGGCGGATCCAGCACCTGGCCAGCCCCCGTGGCCGCCCGTGCTGGATCCCCGGGAATCCCTGCCTCGCCATTCAACCACCAGGAAGGTGAAGAAGAAAGAGAAGAAGAAGAAGAGCTGCTGCTGGCAGGCTTGAAATTTTTTTATTTTTCCCTCCTTGTTGTTTGTAATTGTTTGGGCCTTTATTTTAAAAAATAAGGCCCAATTATGAGCACAAACACCTTGCCCATTAAATTTCAATTTCCTTTACCATTAACCCAATACTCATTACCCACAAGCCACAACAAAATCACCTGGAGGAGGAGGGAGAGGCGAATCAGGGGATTTTATGCTTGGTGATTTTTTTAACATCCTTGCTATTATTGTGAATTTGGTTGGTGCATCATGTAAGCGTGTAGATGCTCTTCGATCAAATTATCATTCTAATATTCTGGAGAAGCTTCATATTGGAGAACTTTCTAGTGGAAGTGGTCAATTTCAAGAAATGAGTTTGGCCTGCCCGGGTGACACTAGATGGGGCTCACATCTATTGACAATAACTCGTTTCATTAATATGTTTAATGCTATCATAGACGTTCTTGAGAATATATCAGAAGATGGCATAAATTTAGATTAAAAAAATCAATGGCCATAAAACAGATGGACACTATGCAAGATTTTAAGTTTGTGTTTAGTCTCCACTTTATGTTTGAAATTTTTGCAATTACAGATGACATTTCACAAGCTTTACAGAAAAAAGGATCAGGATATTCAGAATGTTATGAGGTTATTGAATTTGTGTAAGTGTGCAGTGCAGAACATGAGAGACAATGGTTGAGATACTTTGTTGAGTAGGTTTTTTGAGTTTTATATTGATAGACATATTTTAGTGCCCAATTTGGAGGATATTGTAGTAGTGAAAGGTCGACCTAGGCGTGGAGCTCAGCATGTGACTTATTATCATCACTTTTATGTTGATTTGTATTGTCATGTGATAGACTCAATCTTACAAGAGTTGAATGATCGTTTTTCATAAACAACTACCAAGCTCTGTGTTTAAGTCCAAGAAATTCATTTGCAGCTTTTAATCAGGCTAAATTGCTACGTCTTGCTCAATTCTATCATTTGGACTTTAATAGTGATGAGCTTTTATTACTTAGACCTCAACTTGACAAGTTTCTTATGCTTGTGAGAATGGACGAAACTTTTTTTAACCTCAATAGCATATCTTGTGTAGCTCAGAAGATGGTTGAAACTGGAAGTTACTGTTATTTTCCGTTGGTTTATAGATTGATCACCTTGATTTTGATATTACCTGTGGCAACTGCAACTGTTGAAAGGGTATTTTCTGCTATGAATATTATCAAGAGTGACTTGCGCAACAAAATGGGAGATGATTGGTTGCATGACAATTTGACGGTTTACGTGGAAAAAGATATTTTTATACAAATTGAGAATGAGGCAATATTGCAACGTTTTCAAAAAATGAGACCTCGTAGAATGCAGTTGTCTAAATTTACTGTTATAGAGTATGGTTATTTTTTTATTTTTTTTAGTATTTTGGGTTGTATTGAATTATATTTTCATATGTATATACTTTTTACGTTTTAGTGCATTTACTTATGTATTGAATTTTATTTTCGGCTATTACGATCGTTGATCGGTCAAAGGTCTGCCCTAGCTGAACGAAAATGCTGAATCCGCCCCTGGATGCATGTACATATATTTGAACTTATATGTTTACTTCGATTATGTTGGTTCTTCAAAATAGATTTATGGGACGGATCTATGGTAATCAATTAGTTTGTCATCGAAATTGTTAATTAGGAATTTAATTGTATAAAGTGAAATAAATCTTCGATTATTTGACATCATTGAATTCTCTATATATTTTTTTTCTTTAGGATGGTGGTGCACAAATTTTTGATGAAACAAGATAAATTTTATCGAGCTTATAAAGTTTGGGTCAAAGAACTTGCAATGATCTTGACATAAATTTAGAGACGTGTTAATGATAAAGAGATATTTCATTAGAAACGGGTAAAAAAAAAATAATTTTCTAGATGTATCTCTTCAAATTTTATACTCGTTATTTATAAAATAGTGAGAAACGTGATAAGCCAAGGCTAGTGTATTCGAATGATCTTGATAGGGCTCTATTGTTTTTTACAAGTTATTTAAAAGAGGTTTTCAAAAAGAAAACCGATCAATGAATGAAGGATTAAGTGACTTGACAAAGAAAAATGACACTCATTTAAATCTTTTTATAAAGAGTAATGCTATGTAGCTCCATTGAAGTTGTAACCCAAGTTTAGATGGCTCTAAATGATAGGCTAAATGAAAGGTGAAATTTAATTTCATGTATCATTTAATATCACATTAACGTCACCTAGACTGATGTTGTAACTCTCTAAATATCATTACTTTTTTATAAAGCACCCAAAATTTTAACGTCGGCACTGATTGTGATGAATAAAAAATCTGGTATGGAAAAGAAACAATAGGCTCCATTTATTTAAGTCTGTAATTTGTTAATTGGTAAAAGCCATTTAGGTAAGAAAATGTAGGGATCAGTTTTTAAAGGATAATAATATTTGTTGGGTCACAATTACTTTGTAAGGTTGCATTATCTTATAATTGTGCTCTTCTTGTATGCATTCCACCACCAAATTTGAGTCCATTTGCACAAACCATGATGAGAAAATCTAGATTGTGCGGAAATATTTGGTATTGCTTTGTGACTTTGACCTTTAGTAGACTTAGAAAATCGCACTCATTTTAGACGGTACTCGAGAGAAGCTTTATATATATTAATTCTTTATTACGAATGAACATAACATAAAGTGTATGAAAATATCTAATAATACTCTGTCCGACAGAACTCTTAATTACGAATGGACTAAGCGTACATAATGAGTGCCATAATGGTTGCCTTAATTGACAAATGACGGCCCCCTATTGGGAGGGTGCCGCACATTATGTAAAATGGTATGTACAAATAGCATTTTCCATTACGAAAATGCATAAAATAACACGTCTTAAACGGCGTAGGGTTGCTTAATAAAGGACCTCTAAAGATAATTGTGCCGAATGTCTAATAAAATTATAGCATACTGAACATCATGTCTTTCGACTTCAACATGTTTGTAAGAAAACAAAGCTTATAGGTGAAGAAATTAAGGGAAAAAGGCAAAGGCTGCAGCTAAAAGGAAGGGACTGGACTGGCATTTTCCGGTTATTCGACAGGAACAGGAAAAGCTCAAGTGGAGGATTCCTATGTTTGTGCTATATCAAAAATAAATTACTATTCATATTGCATGATTCAATCCCATTATTGAAAGCCTATATTACATCCCCAAGTACCCAAAGTCACAATAATAAACTAAACTTTATTACAATGTGATATCACTATTTTCTCTACTTAACGCCCAGGTTCATCATGTATATCGAGAGGCAAATATGGCAGCAGATTTTCTTACTAAAACGGCTTGTGGAGGTTCTTCCACAAAGATATTTTTCGCCGATGAAATCCGGACCCTCCTTAGAGGTATTTTATGTACTGACCATTGGGAATTACCTCATTTTAGACGATGAAGTATCATTTTGATTATAAAAATAAGTATAGTCTAAGGATAAGTATTGTAAGGGAAGTAGTACTTCCTTATTTACCGCGTTCTTTGTTTTCACATGTAACCACGGTTTTCTTCCGCCACAAGTGAGGGTTTTTTAATAAAATTCTGGAGGTACCGCCCTCCTTTAACAAAAAAAAAAGATATTACTATTTTCTCTATTTTCGTAGCATCACTACATTTATTAAACGATCCAGCGCTATCAGATCATTCATAACCACATCAAGTTGTGTTAATTCCAAATTCGCACTCTATCTTATAACATAGTCTATTAGGATCGTGACTTTGTGCAATAGCGATAATTCCATTGGGATGTTATTTTGTTTCTATTTGAATATACCGGTTAGACCTCATAAAATCATTTAGTATCAAAGATATTCATTGTTAGAATAACCAATAGCTTGCAATTAAACCCATCATCTACCTAAGATTTGAGATAAGCACTCGTTGAAATTTGAAATCCAATACAAATAAATGTCCGGTTATGGCTTTTGAAAAGTCAAAAGTGATTTCTAAGACTAAAACCTTTTGTTTGGGCTCCATTTTAATAAGATTTTGGGAAAGTTTATTTCAGACTAATAATTTTTTAGAGAATGTATGGTTCAAATGTAAGGAAAATTTTTTAATTAACGTAAAATATTATTTTATTGAAAAATATGTGGATGAAAATGAAGAAAGAGACCTGGAGAATCTTTTTCTTTATTCTTATTTACTCATGTTCAGTCTAACTTACAACATACGTCCGTATGAGTAGGGACAACGAGCTTAGAAGACCTAATATGTCGCCGAACCATATATATTTTAGTTGATTGTAACTCTACAAAAGTAAGGTTTTACGTCTCCCTCCTTGAACACAACATTTATATTAACATACTAGGTTAGGGCAATTCAATTTCAGATAAGTTGGCCTAAGAACCCTCATTATGAATTGCTTTTACAGTGTGGAGAATGTGATTATTGAATCTTAGCTTATTCCTGGTATTGTACAAAATAAATTAGGAGAACAAAGAGAAACCATAATATAGCGGATATGCGTTAATTAACATATTTGCATTATTATAAAATAATCTTCCGCACGTAACGTATTGATACAAGAAATACGCGACATAAGCAAAATATACTACGTCGAAAAGTTAGACAACCAAATACTTGATAAAAATTGAAAATGCACAAATGACCTCTAAAATATCAGTAACCACAATAACACGAGTACTAAGAGAACGGTTCATACGGTATCAGGTGGAGGTGAACCACGACTGCTTTGGCTAAGTAAAGATGGCCGAGGACTTGGAGTTTGCTTTATTTCAAGTCCTTTTCCACCAGATATAGTGTTTCTTTGGGTCCTTATTTCCTTCAGTCGAGGGCTGTTTTCCCTTTGAGACAAAGGTGGGCTATAAACAGAATTCATTTCCTCGTGGGGCGACTCTGTGGAACTTGTTACTTTTGGGCTGCAGGCTTGTCGTATCTCACCACGACTTCTTGTTATGATAGCATCGAGAACCTCACCACTGTCAATATTGGTGACTCGTGCCTGTGCGCTTTGATCCTGCAGATTTATAAAAAGTTTATAATATGAAAACACAACAAAAGTTCATTTAGATAGATCCCATTTAATGAAGTGTAGTTTCTTTTAACATATATATACATCATACTCCCCGTCCTAGGAGAGGGCAAGTCCATTTTCATGCGCTTTTACTTGAAGGTCAGGCCGAGCGCCCCTCCTAAGACTGTATTAAGATTTTTGAAACATGCCAAATATTGCGGTTTTTGAAATAAAATAATAGATCCTCTATTAATGAGCTTAGAAGAAATTGTAGAAAACAAATTAATATTGACTTACTTCAAAGGATAAGTTATAAGTTATAGCAGGGGCTTCTTCATATTCAGCTGCATCCAAGTCTTGTAAATGTGCTCCTTTGAAAAACTTGGGAAGTAAATACTGTCTCACTGGGACGAGAAGCATAATCAACAGTGGGAAAAGGACGCCAGCTAATGGAATCCATGTTATGCCAAAGCACAAGAGCAAGTAGGTTGTTTGAAATATGGTGAAAAGGGCAATTGTTTTAAAAGGTACCGTCTCGACAAAGGTAGCGTGATAATCATCTAGCACCCTGAAAATATTGAAGAGTTGAAGACCTTCAGGCGTTTAACATATAGTAATAATGAAAACGAAAAGAAAAATAAGAGAAAACTAAGCAAAAAATATTCTTCTTTACTCTAGATCAAATAAATCACAATTAGAGCATGTTTGGCAAAGATTTTTCATTCTTATAAGCTAGACAAACATTATTTTTAACCACACATTCCTTGGGAACCACAACTTTTATCTACTTTTTAACAGCACAGTCCTTGGATCCCACTGCTTATAAGCACTTACAAGCTTATCCCGAGCAAGCACTTAATGCTTCAAAATAAGCAATGAACAAAAACTGCCATTTCAGGATTTGGGGGTGGGATGATGCTTTCTGAGCTTAAAGTAGTTTGTTTAATATTAGGTGCATGTAGCATCTGATAAAAACCAGCCACCTTTTTTGTTCCTTGCATCTTATAAATATCTGAGAACCGAAACAGTAAGAAAGTGAGTTAAAACGCAACTTTCAGCCATGAATACGAGAATTGACATACTTGTTTCTTCGACTTGGAGCAGTAAAAAGCAATAATATTCTCTCCCAGAATTGATTTCCAGGCAAACTTTCAATTGCCATGAAAGCAAAGTACCCCCAGAGGACTGAAGTTGGAATTTTTTTTAAAAGAGGCATAGCAGCAACACAACTCCCAGCCATTAATGCCTGAAGCAGATTGCTGAGTCGTTGTTCTTTAACTTCCACAGGTAAAAGATCATCAATATCCTTATTGACATCAAAAACAGCCTCATCGACTGGTGCGTCTATGTATCTGCTACTAGAGGCTCGTTGGACCGTGGAGTCTTTCAACTCCTTCAGACCCTTATAAAAGCAATAAAATAAGAAGCATGTGAGTTTACACAGAAAAGTGACCAATCAAAAAAAGAAAATATTCATGGGCTACTATGCTAAATCAGAAAATACCAGAGCTTGTGGAGTTTGATAGACAAGAGGAGTTTGCATTTCGTTGTAAGCTTCTTGCATGCTCCTATACAACTGAGATAAATTTGCATTTTTCTGCATGCTGCTTCGAGCTGTTGATACAAGCTTATTTCGCAAAAGCTGTTTGAGAAAGAAGAAAATAAATGATAATATCGTTTTTCGAAAGCCAATAATAAAAAGAAAAGGGTGGTCTAATTTGTGATCAACGCGTCGTGAAAGGTAGGCCATCATAAAATAAATAGCACTGGTCGATTGGAAGAATGGCAATAATCATTAGGTGAAATACAAAAACAATTAATTTTTTTCAGCACAATCACTCGTAGGAGTGGTTTTTTGTGTCGTGGAAGCAATATGATAATCAAAACCTCGAAATCCAGCATTCATGCATATTACCTGATGTTTCAGAGTGGCCAAACTTTTTGTATGCATAGGAGATTGTGGAATAACTCCATTGGACGGAGGGATGCCGATAAGACCACATAGTATGACCTGATCAGAACAGAAAACAATTTTTAAAAGTTGCAGTAAGCATTTATTAGCTTATGGTATTGCATTTACGTGTTAGAGTACACGGGTTCAGTGATTTACGCAAATTTACAACTGAATTAGATAAGTTACCAAGAAACCCAATAGAAGAAGGTCATAGTGATAAGAAGAAGGCTTCTTTAGATTGAATTCATTTTGCTGGGCAAGTTGAGATGCAACACTATGGTCAAAATAGTAAAGGACGGCAATCATTGTGGCGGGAATAAAAGCTCCAATAATATACAGTAGAGGCACATTCAGCATTTCCTGTCAAGTCATTTATCACAGTATTCAACATTCACACAAAATGTTGAAGTAAAATGCAAAGAAGAAAAAGGAGAATGAGAAATCCCTTTTCCGACATTATGAGAATATGATGTAGGAGCACCTTAATGACTGTCCAATTTGAGTATGCACCAGTAGACCATGGATTTGGGCTATATAGCCGCCTTGGTATCCCTCGTGGAACATCATTAGCCGGTATATAAGATACAGCAGTCCACACAAGCACCATGAGTGGGACACCGTAGTCAGCAATAAATCCCCGAAGCCATCCTTCGAATTACAATCAACAGTAGGGAAATTGAGCAAATAAATATGAAAATATGTTGAGTTCTAACCATGATAATATACGAAAATATGAAAATTATTTAACCATATTATGAATTTGATAAATGAGAACTATTTCTCTTCTTCCTGTCGTAATTGCTTTTTTCTTGTTTCTAACTAGAGTTCCAGGCACGTGCCCATTAGTGCTTTGTGTGTGCTTTGCATATATGTCCATAGCACCTGTTCCATATCGCCATGATCTAGCTTTACGGCTCTTCAGTGCAGTAGTAAGAAGGCCAAAGGACAGAACTAATGCAAACATTCCATTTCCAAAGCGCCAGGAAGGTTGAAATGCAGTCTCGTTCGGATTTTCTCTTTTTGGAATTCCAAACTCCTCCACAACTCCCTATCAAAGACTCAACTAATTTTAGAGTTGCTCAATAGTTCAGATAGCCGAAAAGAACTTTATATAATGAGACATAGACCTGCCAAGATTTTAATAAAACCAAAGAACCTAGGAGAAACCGATAGATATGGACCATATATAGAAACTAATATTTAAACAAACGGAAAGGGTATTAATTAGGACTCTTAAGTCATAAAGATAGCAAATGCAAAGCAATTATTCCTTCGACCTGGTGATTGATTAAGTAATTCTTTTATCAGCTAAAAGCTTCAAGAGCATAAAGGTTGTGAAAAAAATTCTGGAATTAGGACTCTTAGTCATAAAGATGGAAAATGCAAAGCCATTATTCCTTTGACCTGGTGACTGATTCAATAGTTCTTTTATCAGCTAGATGATTCAAGAGCACAAGGTTTCGAAAAAATTTCAGGGAAGCCAATCATTTTATAATTTTTTTTGGAAAACTGTGTGTGCATAAAAGTTAGTTTATTTTTGCAGGATAATGAGAATCTGTAGGGCAATCAAATATTTGAAGTGAACTGGTTCTACAGAAAAAAGTAAACAGAAGGAAAGGGACTACGATTTTTATTCATACTTACACGAATTGCCTGCTGCATAAAGAGCATTGCAATCAAAAGACCAAACAATTCGCCAGCCAAGCGCGTAAATCGGTTGATAATAGAGCATGCACCCAAGATGCTCAGCAAGAAAAGTAAAAGGGCCGTCCATACGCACACCCTAAGTATAACAGTGTTAAATTCTACAATCAACACCAAATGCTTCAGTTCATGTTCCACGAGTGTAAAGAAATTACCATCCTGTCCAGGCTAAAAATAATTTCTCCCCCAAATCTTTTCGATCTTTAGCAAAATTGAACATGAATGTGTACATCAACACTGTTGGCTCAGCAACGCCAAGTATGAGAAGTGGTTGTCCACCAATGATCGAGTGGATCACACCACAAAGTGCTGTTGATGCAAGCGTTTGCACAGCTGTCAAGGTTCCATCTGCAATAAATGGATCATTTGTCAGCACATCTTAGATAACATAATTTGAGAAGAGACACAAAAACATGAGCAAAATTCAAAACAAAATAAGAAAAACTTACTAGTATTTCTTTCCAGTTGCTCTCCAAAAGATATAACTGGAATTGCCGATGCAAAGAATATGTATGTTGTTGGAGCCAAGATCCTTCAAGACAATAAATGCTAAGACACATTTTTGGATGATACAGTGAGCAAGAACATTGAATTCAACAGTTATCATAATTCGAGTTCTCCAAGCGAAGGGTAAAACCATCTCATATTATTTCCTTATTTGTGACAATCAAAACCATGAATACGTGATTACATATGAAGTGTGTGAAAATCACAAACCTGATACCTGCACGTAGTCCACCACTCCAGTCTTGTTTATAGCATAGAAGCCTCCCTTTCAGATCATTTTTTATTCCACGAAAAGGAACAAATGTTTCTTCCATGATAACCCAAATATACCAAAACAGAGCAGTTTTTATTTTTTGAGTATTTAAATTGGCGCTAACTTGGGCGTGAATTTGATGAGATTTGACAGGGCAACAATCCTATAACTAGATTTGCTTAAGCAAAGACTACTAATGAACTAAGCATTGATTCATTTTCTATACTCATCATAAACTTTTGAAGAGGCCCTAGAAGAAAATCGTTTCAAGAATTTTACATTTTAATCGAATATAGAAAAAGCTCTTTAAAAAGAACAATAGAATTGGTTAGCAATGAATCACAAACAGGGTAAGGATAGAATTCTTAACTGAATTCCACACAAAAATTTACTTGGCTACTTATATTCCATATGTGAAACACTATTAATTTTTTATAAAAGAATATCGTACTGAGCAAGAATCATAATCAACGAAATAAAGAGATTCTTGCCATTTGGAGAGATTGTAAACTAACGGCTGACTTCAATAAAGCTCGGATTCATGACTTAACAAAAAATCCCTCCTAAATAACTACTTTTCACCAAAATGCGATCAAACCCGAACAAAATGCAAAACTAATGCCTTAAGATCAATTACATGGTCGAAATTTATGCAACATACACTTTAGAAATTTCAAACTTCGGAGATTAAAAAACAAAAACTTAGCGAGTACCCATTTATTTTCAAAAACTAATTTTCACTGCTTCAGTACAAGTTCAAGAAAATGGGCATGACAAAAACAAGAAAAAGAACAAGTAACCCGAAAAATTAGCGACAACCCATAACTCGAAATGTGCAATGGAGTGATTTAAATCAGTTTTGAGCAAATCGGCATTAAGATTGCAGTTGTTTTACGGTTACATTATATTCAGAAAAAGACACTTTTGACAAACAGAGCTGGGAAATATAAGACGTCAATTGCAATGTACCAGAAGAAACACGAGAGAGTTGAAGAAAGTTTTACAATTACAAGTAAATTTTTTTTTAAGAGAAACAAACTCAGCAGATGGGAGGGACAATTGTTGTGATAGTGGTGTGGTGACTGAGCATAAATAACCTTTCTGCTACCCGAAAAAGACAAGAAAACAAAAATATTAAAAATTGAAGACGATAAATGGTAGTATTCTAGTTATATTTAGGAAGAAAATGTCGGTAATTTTAAATTTTTGTACTCTACGGAATTGCTCCAAAGAATATACTTGCAGACGAATGGAGGGGATTGGAGCAGACAATGAGAGGAAATTTTTAACCTGGGGGTAGAAATTGTGTAGATACAGTTTTTTTATAAGTTATTATTTTACTATTTATAAATGAAAATTTCTTTTTCCTTTTTATTTATTTATTTTTTTTTTTTATAAGGTCTCTTACACTACAGTAAATATAAAAATAATAATCAACATTTTTATATTGTCATAGGGACAAAATGAAGCATGGGGACATTAAAAAAAGAGGAAAAATGTATATCTCCCTTTTAGCACAATGCTACTCACTATTTGGTGGCTTGTACGATGGACTATTAGATTAGTGGTTGAATGTCTCGTTTATAATTGTGTTGTTGTACTTGGACGTTGAAAACTCTCAGCTACATAAATAGGTCAACGTGATCATGGTGTTAACACTGATTCTTGAGAGCTTTTTGTGTAAAATTATATTTTGTGACTTGATTAGATAATTGATGATGTTACTTATGCAAATGGAGTTGCTCAAATGTGCTTTCTGATGCTTTGAAATAAGGAGGCTGAAAAACTTTTCTTTTGATGTGAGAATTAGTATAATGTAGAGAGAAAAATTATGAGAAAGCTTTAATACTTTGGTAATGAATCTAAGAGAGAATACCTCCATCCTTCCAATTCTTATATATAGGTGTTTACCTCATTGACATAGCACAAGAATCTTTAGAATCGTGGATTATTTTTTACCACACTATGTAGGGGGAAGCATGTCTTTATCCATTTTGAAAATGTGGAGCGAATTTCAAAGGTAGTTCAAAGTCATTAAGACGTGGGTGGTGGCTTGAGTGAGTGAGGGATGGCTCAACCCTCACTCATAGGCTTGTCAAGTCAATCGGCTACATACATATGGTTGATCGATCAGCCATCCCTCTTTTTAGGCTGATCAATTTTGACCTACCTCTCTTGTGGTTGGTTAAGGTCACTTCTTTTATTTTACAACCATATTGCCCTCACTTTTACGTGATGGCCTTGAAATTTTCTGACACATAATGTAATGGTGGGCTTCATTTGGAATTTTGCTCTGACACAACATTCAGTTCATTTATCCGATTTTTTACCGTTGCAAGCCTCAACGGTAAAAAAGTTACTTATAATCAGTTTTTAATCGCGCCCAGACACCCCCTAAGTATATATAAATTTGGATCAAATTTTGAACTTATTATTTTTTTTATGCTATTGAATATTCTATTACAATCTTTACCAAAAAAAGTCATGGAAGGACGGTTATCCTTTCCATTACTTTATTTGAAAAATTATTACTTAAAAGTTGCAGGCTGTTATCATCATCCATGCTTGATAGTTGATACATTATATAGTTCATATGGCTTGTCTTTTGACTTTCATCATAAAATAACCTAGTAACATATATATATTTAAAAATGAAAGTTCACCAAAAATTTCATGGGAAGGTAGAGATAATATAGATTCTTTTAAGCTTTCTCTTTATATTCTCTTGAAGGAAATCTTATCTTTATATTATATACTAATTTCAAGGTTGCTTTCTTTTTGATGGAAATCTTATCTTTATTTTTTTATAGCAAACACACCACTCAACTTAGTCGGGTCTTTTAGGGTTACGGGTTTGAATTCTACGACTTTCTATAGAATTTTAAATTTTGATACAACCATTAAGGAGGCTATACCTAACATCCAAATATACAAAAGTGAGAGGGTAGAAATAGCTTAAAAGAATAAGCCCCTGTTTGAGTCACATTAAAATTTTCATTATCATTCTTCTATTCATTTTCAACCACACATTTTTCAATAAAATAATATTTTTCATCACATCAATAACTTTTCCTTCTTTTTCAACCATATATTCCCCATCACATCAACAAACAAATGCACAAGAAAGTAAGATTAAACCCATGTTTGATCCACATTATTTTTCTTATTCTTATTTTTTTACTCATTTTCAACCACACATTCTTTAATAAAATAATATTTTTCATCACATCAATAACTTTTACTTATTTTTCAACCACACATTCTGCATCAATCTGCTATTTTAAAATACATTCTTTTAAAATAATGTGACTCAAACACACCCTAAATGTAAAGATACTATCTCTATTACGTAAGTTTGTTGGCGCACTACCAAATAAGCTAAAAAGTTGGAAAAAATAAATGTGTCAATTAGGTTTCTTGAGTACGATGTTGTATCAATGTATCTAATTACTTGTAGGAAATTGACACCACTACTTAAAAAGACGTGTACAAATATCATTGAATGAGATGAAACAAGTTGTGACATGGATTGCACAATGTCCATTTGATAAAAGGAGATATTAGGTTTTGTTTACTTTAAGAGTCCAATATTGATTATTAAAAGCTCTTGTCGGAGCTCCTTTCTCCAAGATTAATTTTTTCAAACCCATTTTTAATTACATTAAAATAATTTTTCAAATAAATCTTTAAAAAAATCATATTTTTTTAACTGTACATTCTCTAAAAAATCACTTTCTACAAAATTTATTTAAAAAATGAAGATCAATCAGGGATATATAGGTTTAGTAAAAAAGAGAAGCGTGAGAAACATTAGTCAAATATGTCAAAAACGCTTGAGAGGCGTGCAAATATAATACTTCAATTTGTGTCAACTGAGTCGTTATACTTCAAATTTATGTCAATTTGGTTGCTATATTTGGATTTTATCTCAATTTAGGTCACTTCGTTCAATTCTTTCACCTTCTTCAAGTGTTTAACGTGCAGATGCTAACATGTTCGTTATGTATTGATGGCCAACTTATGCGGCAGTAAAAAAAAACCTGTATGAAGCGGCACAATTCAAAAACCAGTTTCACTCATTAGACTCGTGGATTGGTAGTAAAGCAAATAGAAATATTTTCGTCTGTATAATACAAAAATGAGATATTTACTTTAGAGTCTAGATATTAGGTTTGTCCTATATACCAACTATGCTCTAAACACTCATTTTTAGCCCTGCAAATAGAACACCATGTGTTTGAATTGGACTACATTTGTCACATTGGTTTTCCTATTTAAGAAAAAATAAGTAGTATTATATTTATGTACCATCCCCTAGCCCCCTACCAAGCTGTATTTGCATGACACATAAGTTTATTTGAAAAAAAAAAAAAAAAAGTTGCAACTTGTTGATGAGTAGAATTCAATTAGTCATGATGGTACATCACATTATAAAATAATATATGTTAATGGAAAATGTACATTTAATGCTCTTTCGTAAAAAATCTAGAAATTATTATAAAATTGAGATTAAAGTCAATAATTAATTTTAATCAATCATTTTATGAGATTCGCAATTTTTATCAATTTCTATATTATATATTTCATCAACTTTTATTAAAATTTTTATCAAAATTTTTGTCAAACGACCATTTATATATATGAAAGTACAAGGCTAGTTTTGCAGTAGATGGCCCTTTTGAGTGATCACCTCAGCCATTATAGAATGGAGGTGGGGTCCCTTGATTTGGTTGTGTACATTGATTGATCGCTAAAATTAGGTATGGGAATCAAATGGGATAAAATAATATATATACATAACAAAGAAAATCACTTATAATTAATGATTGCGATTGTCATCTTTTAGGAGCTCGCTAGTATAGACTTAAGGCTCTTTCGGTCCCCACTTGTTATTATCATATGAGGAAACATTGCATTAGTCTTCAATCTATGGTCCTTGTCCCACGTTGATCTCCAATTGATTTCCGTATCATTCTCAACCTTTCTATTCATAAACTCTCAATTTTGTAGTGATTGTTAATCCTAGTGGATTTGATTTCTTCCCCTAGACAACACCCTAAG